TCACTCCTAAAACTTCCCCCTCTTCCTAAACAACCAAATGTCATGTTGCTATATCATTTTTGATTGGTCTACATGGTACATTTTTCCACCAACACAAAAGGGCTGTTTTTCGTTTTGGTCATAAGCAGAGAGCGCTTGCTAGCGCTGTCCTCAGACAGTAAACGTGATGAAAAAACACTGTGTATATGTTGTTGATAGTGACTATCAACACAATTTAAAAACTGGTATATATATCACCTTGTTGCTTTGTCATCTTAAAGTGGTCATGTGATTGGCTTACCACGACTACTTTATTCTTCCTCAGCCAAACAGCAGAAGTCATGCGATTGTTTTGCCCCCCTAGCTACACTTCTTATGCCAAAAAGAAATCGTCAGCCAGAAAGTGATTGCTGTCCGCGGGAGCGCGCGCAGCTGCTTAAAGCTGTAGCGTCCAGATTACTTACAGCTACTTCCATGCAACTGATATAAGATGCGGTAAGCTGAACACAGCTTCAACCGTCTGTTTGTTGACAAATAGTAACGAGACCGTACCACATTTTCTTGTCAGTAACGGCAACGGCGTTGTAACGATAGAAATAGTAATTAGTTAGATTACTCGTTACTGAAAAAAGTGACGCCGTTGGTAACACCGTTACTTGTAAGGCCGTTATTCCCATCACTGCCCATGTCAATCCCAGATCTCAATATTACTAGCAGAACCAACAAGGAGAAAAGAAAGAAATTAGAATTGCCCCGGAGAGCATGTCCTCAGCTAAGGTCAACGCCCCATCTCACAGCTGTAAACACAGTGATTCAGATCTGCTTCCAAATAAAACAGTTGCTCCTTTGCCCATTTAAAGCCTAAAGTTTCATACACTGAACAAATGTTAGGTATAGGACCCAGATTAGAGTGAAACAGAATTAGCTTTTTTATGTGGCTTTGCTGTATTTCATTTAAGTTTAAGGTTAAGAGTTTTTCAACTTGGAAAACTGAAATCATGAATAACTCTAGGGCTCTCGAGGTGAAATGTAACATTTCAGGTGCACCATGGCTGACTGATCTTGTAGCATCCAGCTGTGCATTAATCGGATGCAACCGCATAATGGAGTGGAATAAATGTCAAATATAAGAGCCATTCACACCAGCAATTTAGATAGATCATTGTATCCCATTATCCTACCGAGTGCCATAAATGCTACATACTTTACAGGCTGTGGCTAAGTAACGTTCAACTCTGTGGGTGCTGCTGAGTGGTGTTTTAGCATCTGTGGTGCTGGGACGCATGAAATCAGAGCTCTTCATTCAAACCTTTTCAAGGCTAGGTTTTGAACTTGTCTGTAGAGCACCATTGCTCTGATGGAGAGCAGGACTTTTGGAGGTATCCACACTGTGATATATATCCAAGAGAGGGCCTCTGCAGAGCCAACTCTTTCTTCAACTTTGTTTGACCTTCTGTGTGTGTGTGTGTGTGTGTGTATGTGTAAAACACGTGTTATTGTACTCAAGGTTTCAAAATTTACCTCATCATTATCCCTGGTTTGCTTCCACAGTGTGTGTTTGTTTGTGTGTGTGTGTGTGTGTGTGTGTGTGTGTAGGTGTGTGTGTACGTGTGTGTGTGTTCATGTGTTTTCAAATCTTCTAAATCTTCAGGAAGGCCCTCATCTTCCAACCAGGCATAGCTGAGTGTAATTGGTTTATTACATAACGCACACACAGCTTTCAACAGAGCAGGGAGTGTGTGACGAAGTACACTCCATGAACTTTACCCACTATACATGAACACACACACACAAACTGTCTGCTTCTGCCATTATAGGGGAGTGTGTGTGTTTGTGTGCTTAAGTGTGAGTGTGTTGATATTAGAGGCACAGCTGGCCATGCAGCGCTTCTATGCACACATTTCATTGTATATACCATCATGACTGAATATATACACAGACTCAACAATGGTCTGTCTGTTTGGAGCAACTTTCTTTTTCTTGCCGTCTCGCCTCTCTGTGTCTTCGTCTCTTGTCTTCTTTTCCCTTTTCCTCCAGCTCTTCTTCTTTGATTCCAATAGATTTGCACGGTCTCCTTCATTTTAAACAAGCAGTAAGAAAGTGCAACTCCAGCACTCCACTTTCTTTGAAATCTGATTGTTCCCTCCTAAAAAACGTTCCCTGCTGCGATGGGTCTACCGATGTCAGCTAAGAAGAATTAAATTGAAGTCTGCCTAATTAGTGCTGGCACAGTTTCTCTGTGCTTTTCGCCGGCCTTTTAGTGATGCTCTGTTTCAGCTATTTCTTCAGAGGGCCTGTGTTCTCACGTAAAACGTTGCTGGTTCAAATCTGGAAATTGTTCAGCTTTCCCTGAGCAGATTCTGGTATTGAAGGCAGCTTCACTTCCTATCACTTTTTCTTCTGACCTATTTTTTTTATCCTTCACTTTCCGTGCACACACACAAAGACAGAGAGAGAGAGAGAGAGTGGGGGCAGGAGGAAAGGAAAGCATGTGATAATAGGAGAGGAAGAGAGAGCACAAGAATGAAAGAGAAACACAGAGAGAGGCACACCAAACATTTTTTTTAGAAATGGAAAGAATAAAACATCAAGGGAAAATATGGAACGGAGAGATGAGATTAGCTCAACTCACGGGTAAGGCATGCCAAATATGTGGTGCATGCATGTGATCCTAACTGCCTAAGCTGCTTCTTTACTGGAATAAAGCAGCCAGTGGTGCAACTGGACACATCAACTTGCATGAATTCATGAATCCATCCTTCCACTTATTCCACATAGTGAAGGAGAATACAGGAAAAAACAAAACTGGTCCAAGTCTCTGGTATTCATTACAGGCACAGTGCCACGTTGTCAGGTTTGGGATTTGAAAAATGCTAAATAACATTTTTGTGGCTTACATGTAACTGGAAACAGTTGTTCCTTTTGACAGCAGCTGGAACTGTACACTTTGTTCATTTTACATGTTTATCAGATTACAAGTTACATTGCAGCAATTTTGTAGCTCATCTTTAAGTTAGTTATGTTTCTAATGACAAGTTGTATAACAGTCAGTTTGTAGGACTAATATATCAGCTAAGGACCAGCCTTGTTGACTGAGTTTTATCTGTTTTAAATAAACTTTATTAATACCAGTGGCTGGTATTTATCTGTGTCACATCTTTTTTTTTTTTTTTTTCAAAGATAATGGGATTAATAATGAACATTTTTGGCTTTATTCATGTAACAATGTATGCATTTTATATACATTTATAGAGAAAGGACTCAAAAATAAATTGACTTACATATTGACTGCTGTGCTAGCTGTAATTAAAAGTCTGCATGTTTACTGAAATAAACAAACAGCTAGCTTACACGCTAATATGCTAACTGTAGTAAAAATATTGTAGCTGTGCTAAAAATATAGCATACAATCAAGCTGTTTTTCTTTTTCCTCTAGATTTAGCTTGTGTATTAGCTGTATTCTGAATGGGGTCAAATAAATAATGTGTGAATTCTCATTTTTTAGAAATAAAAATTCATCCATTCGTTTATTTTCTCAACTGCAAATCCAGTTCACGGTCATGGTGGTGATGGAGCCTATCTCAGCTGTCTTAATGTGAAGGATGGTGTAAACCATAGACAGTTTTGTAGAATTACAAATAATATTCTCTGTATTTTATAATGTGGTACTATAAAGTCAAGTAGCATTACAGTGTTGCTTCCTGTCTAGTTGACAGCTGTGTTAGGATGGATGTTTTTTATTGTTTTATAATCAAGAGTGTGTAACTGTAGGAAATGACTCACTGTGTAAACACTGATGAAACTGAGACGAATCTTTAAACTTAATTCAATGCTACAGAGACAAACCTCCATGAACAGTTGGTAATACTTCTGTAGTTGTACTCCTGATTAAAAATCTTTGTACAGCTTTAGGATACTTCATATATCTACACTGGACATCACAAAAATGAGTCATATATATATATATAGAACATATGCACAGTTTTTTGTATGTTTCATTTTTTCAAAATGTTTCAAATTCAAATAAAATACTCACATAGCGCCTCAGTTTTTTCTCTGGGGGTGACTTTCTCAGCCACCCTTCACACACCACGTCCCCTGCTCCGCTCATCCCGATGCAAATATGGCTCCAGCAGCGCTTCTTTAATTATCAATTAACCAATCAGATGGACCTCAGTTGATCAGGATGCCAGTAATGTGTCAAAGCAGGCACCCATTCAGTTGATCACCATGAATTTCCAACAGTCAAGTACATTTAACCAATCGAATGTCACATAGGTTAATTAGTCCTTTCAGTAAGTCTTCTTTTTTGTTAACAATGATCAAATCCAACCAGATTTGAGATCCGCTGCTTTGGCTTTAAATCGGTAAACAAGGCATCCAAGCTTCACACCAGTCTGAGATCCAGTCAGTTGATCTGTACATGTGCAGGTCAGGCTTCCACTTTGTCAATCAGACTTTTAATAAGTTAAGGTCTCCAGTCTGTTTTCAAGTAAAAATCCTGCTGTAATAAATCAGTTGAGCAGTTTCTATCCACACATGGAAGAGCTTCTGTTCACCCGTCGACGCCTGAGTCACACCTCCTTTTGAGAAAGCTTCAACTTCCCAGCAGTCACTCTTCCCTCCCTCCTCCCTCCTTTCTCTCACTCTCTTGCTTTTTGTGGTTGTGCGATAACTGAACACAATGCCTCAGCTCGGACATTCCTGCTCTCCTCTCCACCCACTTTTCCCTCCTCCTCCTCCTCACTCCTCCCATTCTCCTCCTGCTCTATGTAACAGGAAACTCCCCCTGTGGATATGGATGCAGTTTTTTTTGGAAAATGTGCGAGGGAAAAGGAAGATGTCTACTTTAATATAAATTGAACATGGCATGGACATAAGTTGAATAAACTGATGGATAAATTAGATTTCTAAATATAATAAGCATGAGTATGGGTCTAATATGACAGATGAGACATTTGATATCAACAAAAGAAAACGTGTTCAACAAAACAAGAAAAACAAACGTTTTTCCTCCAACAGCATCTATTTGTTTCTTTTAAATTTCTACTTAAAAAAAGATGCACACATTCAGTAACAGCTCAACAGCCATCATGAACAACCTTGGGGTCTATTGATGATTATATCTTAATCCATGTGCCTTGGTATCTCCAGGTATCTTGTGTGAAAGAGAACAAGTTGTTTAAGGTTTAGGCTCAACCCTAAGTTGATCAGTTTCCAGAGTTCCAGGTACACTTGAAGTTAAATACTTCTTTAAAATATATTATATTGGTAAAAGGGAGGCTACAGCACCCTCCAGTGCTGAAAGACTCAAACCGTCTAAATAGTAGACGAAGTCCACTTTCTTCAATTTCTTCTCTTGTGAAATTGTCAAAAGTAAGATTGTGTCATCAATAACAAATTAATACTAAATTGAATGTATTGATCAGTAAAATGTTAATTCCAATTCTCCACTTCAAGCTTTAAACATAAAAAATCAGATTGAACCCCTAAATAACTTAAACTTAATGAACTTCTTCTATAGTTCAGTTTACATGGCTTGACTATTTCCTGAATTATACCTTAATTTTTTTTTATTCTTAAGTAATTATTTTTTTTATAATTGAACTTTTTTCATATCAAACCCTACACATAAATAGATTCATTGTCAATATTATCTTTTTGCTCACTGTTGCTCATTTATTTATTCCTTGTTTATATTGCAGTTGAAGTACATGTATTATTTTTGTTAATAGTAATTTGACTGACATAAAAAAACAAAAACAAACAGAAGCTTTATATTTTTAAAAATATTGCACAGATAACCTTCTAATGAAATGAAATAATAATGAAAACGCTACGTTCAGATGAACAGAATCAACTTTTGGAGATTTACTTACCTGGATGATTGAGCATGCATCAAGATGGCTCAGATAATTGTTTTGGGCTGGAGATTTTGTTTTGTTTATATATACACCAATCTATGTCTACACAGGCATTTGAGAACTTATTTATCTTACACTTGGTATGTCTGAGTCAGTTTTTTCTTAGGAAATGAGGAACCTTCTTACAGTAAAATGATGTCTTCTTTAATGGGGAAAAATATCCTACCCTACTCACATAATTTCCTTGGGGATTAATAAAGTAAAATATCTTGCAAAACAAATATGAATCATACTAGATATCATTATGTATTACAGTGGGTGAGAGGTAGAACTCCCTACATGAGGTCATCATGGTGAGAATTACTACATGTTTGATGTGGCAGACTTTTGCCTCAAATGCCTTTTTAGCACAAAACTGGGATTTGTGTCTCCAACTATAACTGAACCAGGGACCTTTCACTTGCCAAGCAAATGTGTAAACTACAACAGCTTAATAGTGCAGTAGAGCAGCTGAAAGTTGATTCTTAAGTTATTACTACTTTACTAAATATAGTATTATTTTCTTATAGTATCATTTTTCTTTAAAACTGGCAATTGTCCCCCCCAAACACCTAGGAAAAACTCAGGTTGTATGAGTTGTACTTCTGTTTTGTGTGACTAGGTGGCAGAATTAGAACTTGCTGTACTTTTGTCAAAGAAAATCATGCATTATTAGAACTATAAGGTACAACAAAAGGCATTAACACACCCCAGAAGAGCTTCAGGCTTTTGAACTTAGCACTTGTAACCAGCTGGATGGCCCCTCTTCTCTTTAGTTCAGAGGTCATCCAAGTTTTCCAAAAGTAATTTCAAATTTCAATTTCTCTGACCTCAGAACAATTTTACATGAGTGATTATATCCATTATTATATCACTTTATTTGAAATATTTAAGTCTTCATAATTTTATGTTAAGGAACCCTATTCTTAAATTCTTCCACCGTTTGTAGACTTTCTTTTTTGTTGTGTTTTTTGGGACCTCCTGTGTGAGTCATCAGTGCAGTTTTGGAGTAATTTTTGTAGGCTAGCTGCTTCTGGGAAAGTTTACCACTCTTCAAAGTTTTCTTCTTTTGTGGATAATGACTCTCATTTAGTTTGGTGTGGAGTCCTAAAACTGCAAAAACTGCTTTGTAACCTTTTCCAGACTTACATTTTCACATAGGTTTAGATAGCATTTTTTAAATCATGATTGAAATGAAGTAATGAGTTAAATGATTTAAAAAGTTTTTATTTCCTAATTTACTTCGCTTTAAGTGTGAAAAATATGTCAAGAAAAAGAGTAAGCGGCAAATACTTGTTCATAACTGTATATGTATTTGTGACAAAAATAAGTGGTCTTACCTGCTGTGGGGACCTCTTGTGAATAAAGGAGCGGCCAAAAGTGGGTTTGTTTTGTCATTTCTTAAATACAAGAGGGGAAAGACCTTGTAGGAATGAAAAATAGTACAGGGAGAGAAACAAGAATGTTTGTGTCAGGCAATGTAAAAATACACTGACATTATGTGGCCATCTGCTTAGCTAGTTATCAGTTTGTGTTTGATACAGAGTGACATATGGCTATTTACTGCCATCTGGTGTTAGTTATACAGCACTGCAAGTAAAGTCACTGTTGCATTCTTGTTGTTGTTTTTCTGTTGACAAAAAACAGCTGTGGATATCTGTCATTTTCATAGCCATTTTAGGATTTTTTTGTTACAGAAGGTCTCTCAAAGATTTAGACACCAAAGTGTCAAACTGACACTGACTGTCTCTTGGACTATTAACTGAACATACTTGAACTGATTGGTGCCGTATGGCAAAAAACAGGGGGACCATCCAACCAGTGTTCAGCATCAACTCTGCAGATATGGAAAATGAAAAATCCTCCAACGCTCACCCAGCAATATTACATTTCCTATGATTTTTCATCTGATATGTACTGCTTCATTTCCATGCATATAAAATGAATATTGTTGCACATTTCAAAAACAAAAAATCCCTGCAAGTAGAGGGTGGACTGGTGGAGCGTGGTGCATTACTTCAATGTGACTCTTATGGCTGAGTCACAGTTTTTTGCATATCAATATATTATTAACTAAAAATACACCTGTGAGAAATAATAATAGGTCATGTGGTCGAAACCAGTGATTGGATTCTTCATGATATAGACATATTTACTTTGTGTCATTTTCATGGTTAAACACCCCTGCGGGAATCAAAACAAGAAAGCTCATATTTGAATAAAACACGAGAACAGCTGTGATGACCTAAACTGCATTCCTTGATTTGTATACACATGGATCGTTGTTTGTTTCAAAGTTATTTGAATTATGAAAATGTTATGAAAAAACTAATATCATTTGCATGGCTTCATTCTAGCTGCATGATTAGCTGGTGGTGATCATTCGCAAAGTCCTTCTAAGAGCACATTTCAGCCATCTGGAAGCAAATCTTTGTGGTTGAGTTAAATTTCTATT